CACACACACACACACACACACACACACACACACACACACACACACACTACACAAGCGAACATAGAACATACATGAACAACATAATATTGTCATAAACGACTCCGTCTGGTCAATAACACCAAGTATTTGTATTAGTTGGTGACAACAGCACATGTAGAGTGAGAAAAAACCAACAACAACAACATCAAATCGAGTGAGCGAACGAACGTTGTTGTGCATATTTGAATGTTCACCACACAAAGCGTGTATGCATATTTTTATGTATGCGCGTTCATTCACAAAAAAAAATTGTGAATGAGCAAACGATTTCATGCAAAAAATTTACTTGAGTATGCAATGCAACGTCATTTACTTGCACCTCCACACATACCTACGATCACTTCACCATTTAATCAAAGTCGAATACAAATTTGCAACGAAAGAGCGAGCGAGTGAGGGAGCGAGAGAGGGAAGGAGACAAAAGGTAAGCCGTAGGTTTCAAGTGCGCCCATAACGAAATCCATCTGTGACACAGAAAATCAAAATTATAATAAAAAGTAAAATGCATTTGCCGTTTTGTTCATTTGTTGACTTAATAAATCGATGTGCGAATGAAGTGTTTTCGACAGTATACAAACAAGCCAATGAATGAATGATTCGATGACTAATTTGAATATACTTTTTGTTTTTCTTTTCGTAATGCTCATAATCGAGCACACCACATTCATGAAAATGACACTTTTTGGTTGATTCTTTGCGTGTGCAAACGAACGAATTAAATTCATGTGTTAATTTTTGTCAGTGATCGTCAATCATACAATGAATCATTTCCGGTGCATTTATTCGGAATGGAAAGAAACAAGAATAATAACAACAACAACCGCGACAACAACAGAAACAAATACGCTGAATTACGTAGTTAGGCTTTTGAATTCGATGCAAATCAATGCGTTGAAATGTGAATCGCTTGATTGGAATGCATTTTTTGCATGACGATTCTGTCGCGAGAGAGAGAGAGAGAGAGAGAGAGAGAGCGAAAAAAAAACGAAATCACCACAGCAAATGAATCACTTTTAACCATATACATTCAGTTTCTGTCATTCGCCATTGACCACGTTAACCATTTTGGTTTTGCAGCTCACTTTCCTCGGGATCCATAGATGCCATTTGGGTTTACCTGCAAACACGTTATTTTGAAAGCTCCCCCAAAAACAAACCGACCGACAAAAAAGCCTATATAAATCGTTAATCGTTTTTATTTTCACATTTTAACCAAGAAGCCATATGCATTCAAATTGGTCGTTTGGACATGAGCACTGCTTTTGTTCTGACGTCAGACACACTCACACTCATGAATGAATTAAAATAGACTTGACTTATATAAATTGCACTGAGGTAAGTTGCGAATTGAAAGTTATTTATCGTAAACAATTCGGCGCGTGCGATGATTAAATGTGACGTAGAGAGAGAGAGTGAATGGGCCAAATAGATTTTACGTTTATAAAAAAGAAACGCTTTATCGACATTTATTTCCAAGATAAAATATGCATAGATCGTCCAGTTAAATATAAATACACACGGTAAAGTCATTTCATTTGAGACATTGCTCGCTGGCGCGCGACACTGTAAAAAATGTCCAACAGACGTGTCTGGCCGATCATTTTCTAAGCAAAAAGTGA